TTGTTTTTTATTGATATTATTTCACCTTTTGGATAATTTTTTTTGAAAAACTTTATGTAATACATAATATTTTGGTGTTGTCATTTCAACAATTAAAAAAATTTAAAAAAAAATGTCGCTACATAAATGTAAAATTTTAAATCAAGTTGAAAATTGTGTATTTGTCATTTTATTTGACGTTTTCAGATCCAAAAATGACTAGATTACAAATTATCTTGATCTCTGGGTATGATTTGTATTAATAAAAATGATTTTAAAAAATTCTAACGTTTTTATTTAAGCCCTTGAAGTAGACATTTAGTTCTTGTAGAGTGAAATATTTTTACATTCCTTTACGTCAAAGAAAATCCTCATTCGTCGTAAAAAGACAAGCATAAATTTATATTTCCTGCAAATCCTGCATAAGGCATAAAACATATCGTCGATGAGCGCTGGATTTCCTCGAAATCTGTTAGATCAGCCGAAGACTGCAATGTGGAGTGCATTACAATTGCAAAATCAAAGGAAAGTTTCTCCGTGGAGACTCACCTTTGAATAAACTGCAACTTGAAGAAGCCGTTGTAAACTTTGTTTTGGTAAAATACGCTTGCCTGAATACTAATAGTGTAATAATACAAATACAAGTAAAGTCAAGAAAATAGCTCCGAAATTTAGTGTAAAACGAACATTTTGCTGCAGTTGTTACAAAAACAGTTTATTGGTTTCTATGTAACAAATAGCTTTTATAACTGGCTTTTGTTTCTATGTTGTTCATTGTTATCGGCTAATTTCATAGTAGCATTAGGTTTTATGTTTTTTAATATAATAATCAATAATTTTTCATTAATTTTCAATGTTTCAAATTTGTACTTATTGTTCCTGAATAAAATCAAAACAACGCAATTCAAAACTAACTCTTTTGAATGCAAACTGGTAATAATAGACTGGAAATAGGGTGTGGTCATATCACTTTTACCAGAAATAAATCGGTAAATGATAACACAAAATAGATTCAAAATAGTTAGCAAAGCCCTAAATCCCTACAACTCATTATAAATCTTAAATCGTTAATTGTTAAATTATTAAAAATTAAAAATTCAAACCTTCCATTTTGTAAAATGTAAAACATTTTTGTGGGAACCTAACTTTTTTTTCTATGGCATTTTTCGCACAAACGGTTTTTTTTTAATTTTGATCAGCATGTGAAATTTGATCATATCGTTGTAATCAAGAACAAAAAAACATTTTAAAAATTGAATATGAATTTACTTTCCGTTTTTTTTCCAATAATTCAAAAACTAAAAATGACACATCAAACTTTCTTTTAGAAAGTTGTTCAGCATAAAAATGCGCAACTTTGTCCTAATTTAACCAACCTCGTATCTCTTATAATAAATGAGATCCCCATCGTTGAGCTCGAAAAACAAACACCCTGTATATCCCTTGTAACCTATACCTATTCTCCGTTTCTGATTTAGAGCAAATTTAGCAAATTCTTTAATTTTAATTTGTTATTATGTAAGATCAAAAAGCAAAATGTAACTAATAATTAGTTTATTTTTTTCGTAACGATTGACCTTAAACCAAAAAAAACAAATAAATTACTGGCTGTGACAATAATAACATGATCACAGTTTTTTGCCATTTTTGAAAACTTGCCTTTAATGAGAAAATATTTTTCATAAAGTGTAATGAAGAAAGAAAGTTCAATTTTTTAGTATCACTACTTCCCATAATTACTGTAATTATAGAAAGAAATTAAACAATGCAAACTAAAAATGACACATCAAACTTTGTTTTAGAAAGTTGTTCAGCATAAAAATGTGTAACTTTGCCCTAATTTAACCAACCTCGTATCTCTTATAATAAATGAGAAAAACAGACCCCCTGTATAAGATTCAATGATTACATTAAAGAGTTGCAGAATACAGAAAGGTAAAGTAATGATAATCAAAAAAACTTTTGGTCTAAATAAATAAAAACTAACGATTTTTTCAAATAAAAATGTTTTTTTTTTTAATTTTCTTGTAATGTTTTTAATTTCTGTATTTTTGTTATTTTATTTTATTATTTTGAATAAAAGGCTTTTCAATTTTTTTATTAATTTTGCACACCTCCCATTAAGGGACACAATTAAAGATTCTCCATCGGTGTCCGTTGTTGACAGGTTTTACTGTATTTACGTGGCATTTGGGGAAAAAAAATCAGAAAAATTAGCGATGGTTTTTACAAAATAAAGTACATATTTGTAGGTATTTTTTATTGAAAAATGAAAGTACGTTAATATCAGCAAAAAGATAGGAGTAATATATGAAATTGATAAAGTCCGTCATTGAATTTCTATTAATAGAACAAAATAATGAAAGCAAAGCTTTTGTTAAAAAATCCAGTAGTTAGCCAGAATATAAAGCTGTAAACAGTGCAAACCTTTGTATTTCAGGGAATTTATTTCCATAAAACTAAAAATAAATTGATGACGAGCTCAAACCAAGAAATTTAAAAATAAATATAACATATATATATACAGGGTGCGCCAGAACTCGCGCCCCAGAGAAAAATGCCATATAAGGTAAGATACCAGGAACATGGAAAAAGTGTTAAAAAAATTTTATCTAAAAAATTTTCGAAGTTATGAGGGTTTAAAGTTTACACTTTGACTCTATTTATTTCTGTTGGAAAGATAATTTTCCAAGTTTTTTTGCTACAGCCTATTAGAAGAGGAAACAAGGAAGCTGTATCCTAAATTGTAACTCTGTTCAATGTCATTTGTGGCTTTTATTGGCAAAATTTTGTCCCTTTACTAAATAATTGTAAAAAAACATATACAAGATCATCAGTGTTATTAAATAGATATAAAAAATGTCAAATGTCAAAAAATAATTGTCAAAATTTTTTGACAGATAGAATTTT